AGGAAAAAAAGAAAAATTTCTACAATAAACATGTTATATGTTTAAATAGGGATTTTAAAAAATTTTAAGAAAGCTTTAAAAACTTACCTCCTAATTTCCCTCTGATGACATCCAAGGCTTCCTGGTACTTTCCTAAACGTTCCAGGATCATATAATAAAGTTCAACCTTACAGAAAAAAACAAGACGTGCAACCATTGAAACTTCTCAATAATAAAGAGATGGTCATTTTTATGTTTTTAAAAGTTACTTAATAGTAAAGAACATTACCATCAAATGAGATAAAACTGACAATAAGAAGCAGACAACAGTGTTTCCCCCATTTGTATACATCTCAGCCTAGAGTATTTGCTAGAAAGAGCTCAGTGTTCATTATATATATATAAGCTGGGGGCTTTCAAAGCTTCACATTTACACAAAAGCCAACACTGAGGACCCAGCTATCAAGCTGGAATAAAACAACAGTTCATAATATTGTAACATAATATTGTAGCACTATGAAACTCATGAAAACACAAAAGTAGGGCTTAAATTACTCACTTCGGCCTCAGCTTCTATCTTGTCCTCTTTCACCATTTTTTCTACCATTCTCTCAGCAAGGGGCAGAAACATTGTTTTCGAGAGGTTTTCATCCTGAGCAGATATGGACTAGAGGGGGAAACATAAATATTTCATTCTAATTTCTCCCCTGCTTGCACTATTTATATTAACACAGAGACCATTACTGTGACTCTGGAACATAATTATCAATCCACTATGTCAAATCAGACCCTCCAATTGTCAGGAGGGTACATTAGAGAGTGATCTGCCTTAAAAGAGATTTCTCTACTAAAGTTTCATCATCCCATGCATTCTTAAAATACTAAGCTTCCACAATATGATCTAATTTTTAAATAGGTTATTCATACATTTTTCTGGAAATATGTTAAGAGAGAGGATGCCTATGTTGTTTATTATACATGAAGAGTATCATCAGGTATTTGAAGAAAGCTTTCAGATCTTTTTGAGATATTCACGTATTAGAAGGGAAATGCCAATTCCTTCCACTTATACAGTTTACTAGTAGCTACAGTTGCCTTAAATTGATAATTATAATGCATGATATTAAAAATGTTTATATTGCCAGATTCTGCTCACTTAACCCTTGTAAACAACCTTTCAAGGTATATGTTATGCTTATTTTATAGACAAAGGAACTAAGATTAAGAGATTCCTCTTCCCCCAAAGGTCTCTAACACATGTGGTAAGGCCAGTATATGAAGGCAGACCTGTCTGACCCCAGAACATCTATTCTTAATCACTATATCTTAACTCCTTCCTCCCCATCCTCTTCTATACAGAATCTTACTATGGTCCCTACAGCAGTTCTGGGAGATAAATATCTCCATTCTGCAAAAGAGCAAACTCAGACTCAGAAATGAGAAGTGATAAAACAAGGCCACCCAGTTCAATGACCTGTACACTAATCAACAATATTGTCTTTAAGAAAAAACTCAATTCGACAAATAACCTAGTAATGTATCTAAGGGTCAAGGGAAATACAGTTGATGCTGCATACAAATAAACTGATAGACCAACTCATAAAGAATACCAAAAATCCCCAACTTAACAAGTCAACTGACAATACGTAAATTCCTGGTTTGACACGTGCTGCAACATACTACCCAAATGTTCAGAAGATACACTAAGGACAATGACATAAAAATAAAAACAAAGTTCAATACCAGTCTGAATGCCATACTCACTTGCATAATTAAGCTCATCACAGACCAAAAGTAGTAAGGGTTTTTGGGGACAATCTTATATAGAGCCATGCCAGCCTGAAAGAGAGCCATAAATACTTAATTTAGAAAACACCATACAAAGGGTAATTAATGATCTAGATAGGTTGACGAGTTTCCTAGGACAACAACAACACATTTACATACACATTACTACAGGTGTGGTGGCGCACACCTGTAGTCCTAGCTACTCGGAGGGCTGAGGCAGGAGGACTGCTTGAGCCCGGGAGTTTGAGGTTGCTGTGAGCTAAGATGACGCCACGGCACTCTAGCCCGGGCAACACAGTGAGACTCTGTCTCAAAAAATAAAATAAAATAAAATAAAAGAATCTGGAGTGCCAATGGCACAATCACAGCTCACTGCTATGATTGAGCCTCAAACTCCTGGGCACAAGCAATTCTCCTGCCTCAGCCTCTCAAGTAGCTGGCACTACAGGCATACGTCACCACACACAGCTAATTTCTGTTTAGGACATCTTAAAAAAAAAGACATCTGGCTAAAACAAAGGATTAAGAGGAGGAAGAGGAGTAGTAGTAGGGGAGAGGGTTGAAAGGCAGACTGAGGTAACTTTGTTATAAGGCACTCAAAAACGAGTCTATAGAGGCTGGGCGCAGTGGCTCGCACCTGTAATCCTAGCACTCTGGGAGGCTGAGGCAGGCGGATCGTTTGAGCTCAGGAGTTCAAGACCAGCCTGAGCAACAGCGAAACCCTGTCTCTACTAAAAGATAGAAAGAAATTAGCCAGACAATTAAAAATATATAGGAAAAATTAGCCAGGCATGGTGGCACATGCCTGTAGTCCCAGCTACTTGGGAGGCTGAGGCAGGAGGATCGCCTGAGCCCAGGAGTCTGAGGTTGCTGTGAGCTGGGCTGATGCCACGGCACTCTAGCCTGGGCAACAGAGTGAGACTCTATCTCAAAAAA